TGCCCAGTGTGATTTCTACTTTTCCTGTGAATTCAAGAGTGCTAGTGGAAAGAAATCAAAAGGTAACTGGAAAATGATTTTGCTAAGTGAGAGAAGACAAAACTGGACTTGCTCATTTGAACAGAATTTGAATGTTTCCGGCCTGACCTTGTCCCTGCTTCTCCGCCTCCCCACACTCCAACTCTATCTCTACACCACCTCCCATGCAGCATGAGCAATCCCATCTGCTGACAGCTGTCATGTCTGAGTCCCTACCTGTCCTCCCCATTCCTTAGTGTGAAACAGGAAAAAAAAGACACTGATATAAGGATCCTAAGTTAGAGGAACTATTTTTGTTGTTACTGGAATAAGAAGAGGGAGAGAATGTATAAAATATAATCAGAATTTAGGAATAGGATCATCTAAGATCTATGAGCTGTACCACAGAATTCCTTCCCAAGAACAGGCTATAAAAGATGGGTTCTTTCTTCCTAATTAAGTGTTTCACATCCTAAAATAACTAGCCACATCCATGTGGAGTATTTGCTTCTTTGTAGGGTAAGTGGGGATGGGTATGTGGGGGTGCAAGTATGCTGGCACATGTGTAGTTTGTCAGGTTATCTACTGTAAAAAGATCAAGGAGTACTGAAAGAAAATCTTTTCAGTATCTGTGTATCACTTTAGGCAGTTAAATTATCCACTTTTTGAAGAACAGGAGAGAGATTTACAGGAAAATAATTGCTCCAATAATACATACATAGGTTATATATTATCATATATGTAGTATATATATTATATATAGTATAAAACATATCCCTTGAGTCTTTCTCAATACCAATTGCTGATCTCTGAAAAGGTCTAATGTGGCCTCAGGACTAGTTTGACCAGGCCAGGTTATATGTTTGGGTTTTTTAAATATATCTGTCCTAAAGAGTGAATTTTCACAACTGTGTGACCCCATGAAAGAATTAAAAAGAGTTAAAAATCACTCGACAAAACAGGAATTGGTTGTGTTTTTCATGTATAAACATTCCATATTCTTTATCTGCCTTTTGTAGAAATTACAACCCAAAGGCTGAACTCCTATAATTTAGTCATAGATAATTTTGTTTACTGGACATTCAGAAGGAATATTATGTAATGATACTTTCCTTCCATTCCAATCTAAAACTATATATTCCTGGGTCTATTCTGTAACTGGAATCTAAGCTACACATAGACTTACTTAATTTGCCTCCAGATTAAAACAAATAAACAAAAAACTCTATCAGTTCCACAGTCTAAGAATTACTTTTTAAGAAAAATAGCTTTTAAACAGTATATTCAATTTTTCACCTTCCTGCTCCTTAACCAACACAACCACAAGACAATATATAAACTGAAACCATGAAATAAAAACATTCTTCACAAAAATAAAAAAAAATCTTTGTATCAAATCATCCTGGCTCTTACAGCATATAGCTACTTGCCACCTATGTGTAATAAAGAACTCAGGGAAAAAAAAAAAGTACTTTGTATATTCCCCAGCCCCAGAACCTCCATTTATTTTGTATTCTGTACTTCTTGCAATTTCAAATTTCCGTTGTAATACAATGAAAATTGTCCAATGGAGGTTTTTGCCAGTATCTCAAAAGAAATTCTACTTTACCCTTAGTATTCCAGAGTATCCATGCTTTGATAAGTATGGTCCATAGTGTTTCTCCTAGGAACAGAATATTTTGGAGCTGAGATTTCCCCAAAGGAAGTGAGGTGGTTTAGGGTAGAATGTACATGAATAAATATCCCTTCTTAGTTTGTGAACTGAAAATCAAGGCTTCATGAATGTCTGGAGCCAGAAACCAAGCCCGGGCTATCCACAGGAATAGTGATTTAATGGAAGGAATGGGAGGGAATTTACAAGTTTACACAGACTTCCCCTACTTATGCTATTAAATTTTATTTTCTCATGTCAAAAAAACTAAATAAAATTTTAAAATAAATTTAAAAATAAAGGAGGGATAGGAAAGGGTCAATAAACTAAAAACCTAGGAATCTGACTTTCCAAATGAACCTACATATAGATGCTTAGCTTTTGGAAGCTAGTTTCACTTATCCTCTGTTTCTTTTTCTTTGCAGCTTGCTTTCCCCCATTTGACAGCCTCCATCTTTATCTGGTCTTCTCTGTATCCTGGAGAATTCTAGTCTCTGATTTCTAAGTTTATATGGCTTCTCAGCCTGGAACTTAGCACCTATTCTGCACAGCAGAGGAAGGAAAATATGGCAAGGAAGGAAAGAAAATCTCTGCCCTCAAGTATTCACATTCTAGTAGGAGGAAAAAGATAAAAAACAAAATATAAGTAATTAAAATATAGAACATTAGTTGAACATATAACAACGCTGGTATTTGAACTTTTGGATATACACAAATGGCAATTTCATATGAGTCAACCTATATATTAAATAGCGATGAATATTATTTTAAAAATGAAGCAGGGGAGAATAGGTAGTAGGGTTGATGATACAGTGAGGGCAGAGAGGGTTACAATTTAAAATAGGGCAATCTGGGGTCCCTGGGTGGCTTGGGAGGTTAAGTGTATGATTCTTGATTTTGGGTGAAGTCATGATCTCAGGGTCATGATTTCAGAGTCCAGAGATCAAGCCCCATAGCTGCTCTGCACTGGGCTTGGAGCCTGTTTAAAATTCTCTTTCCATCTCCCTCTGCCTCCTATTCAAGCTCTCACTCTCTTTCTCTAAAAAGCATAAAAATAAAAAAAAAAGAGCAATCCATTCCTATGTGATATAATTATTTGAGATTGTTTTTGCTACATTATTATTTTTCTAAGGAGCATGCATTCCTTTATAATGAGTTTTTTAAAACTATATAATATCAAAGTTGATGAAAAACCACAATGAGTCACTTAAACATGTAAATTTTAGGGCATTTACATCAAGCAGGAATATAAGATACAAATCATATTAACATAGTCTTATACTCTATGAAATTAGGTTAAATGCCATGTAGTACAAAGCATTTAATTATATATGCTCTAAGCCATTAATTTTAAAAACAAGCAATGAATTCTATTTTAATGAGCAAAGTAAAAACAGTTTGTTACTTTTTTTTCTTTTTCTTTTCTAAGGATTTATTTACACATTTTAGAGAGAGATGGAGAACATGTGCATGCACACGTGAGCAGGGGGGATGGGCAGAGGGAGAGAAAGAACCCCAAGCAGACTCCTTACCAACCATGGATTCTAATGTGGAGCTGGATCTCATGACCCTGTGAGATCATGACCAGGGTCAAAATCAAGAGTAGGGAACCCAGCAGACTGAGCCACCCAGGTGCTCCCCTATGTTATATTTCTTTTTTAATTTATGTTACATTTTTAAAAGGTACACAACCAAAGAACAAACAACTTCTATTAATGGGTCACCCAAATAGTCAGTTTCCATCTAACACAATGCTTTTCAGTATTTAAATTGTTTGAGAACTATAAAAATGTGAGGAAGGGAAGAAATATTTATGAAAGGTACCTATGACACAGCTTAATTAAAAAATAAACTAGGGGCGGGGTGCCTGGGTGGCTCAGTCAGTTAAGCGTCTGTCTTCGGCTCAGGTCATGATCCCAGGGTCCTGGGATCAGCCCGGTATCAGGCTCCCTGCTCAATGGGGAGCCTGCTTCTCCCACTCCCTCTGCCTGCCACTCCTATGTATGCTCTCTCCCTGTGAAATAAATAAATAAAATCTTTAAAATAAAACAAAACAAAGTAAAACTGGGGTACCTGGGTAGCTCAGTCAGTTAAGCGACTGACTCTTGGTTTCTGCTCAAGTCATGGTATCAGGGTCATGAGACTGAATCCCACATGGGATCTATGCTCAGAGAATCTCCTGCTTGAGATTTTCTGCCTCTCTCCTTGCCTTTCTCCCTACCCCTCTCCCTGACTGTCTCTCTCAAATAAATTCATAAAATATAAAAAAAATAAATAAAAATAAACTAATATGTGGCTTAAACATTAAGACAACACAAATGGTATTATTATACTTTTTAAACAAATTCCACAAAAATTAGGAAACTAGTAAGACTAATTATTAAATTAATCCACTGGACATGGCCTGCTACCTAAAAGGAAGATGTGACTTCTCCTTCCAAATACTGATTGACCTAGTCAATAACCCAACAGTTTATATGTGCCCAACTCCCAAAAGAAATCTAAGCCGGCACTGCTCAACAGAACCTTTTGCAGTGATGGAAATGCTCTGCCTTGGCCCATAAGGTAACCAACACTTGAAAGGTAGCTAATGAGGGACGCCTGGGTGGCTCAGTGGTTGAGCATCTATCTGCCTTTGGCTCAGGGCATGATTCCAGGGGCCTGGGATCGAGTCCCACATCGGGCTCCCCACAGGAAGCCTGTTTTTCTCTCTGCCTATGTCTCTGCCTCTCTCTCTCTGTGTCTCTCATGAATAAATAAATAAAATCTTTTTTTTAAAAAAAGTGGCTAATGAAACTGAAAGACAAAATATCCAAAATTACATCATATTTACAGAATAATCAGAGTACTCTAAATCTCAAAGAAATTGACTCCCCATTCAACATACCTAATACCATTATTAGGAGTCACACATCATGCAGCCAATCCTCCGAATCACTGAGCAAAAGTGGTAACTCTTTTCTGTTCTTTAGAAAAACATTTTAATGCCCCAAATATTATTTTCACAATTTATTGCATTCATAGGAACTGAGATCACATATATTGTAATGCAAAATATTAAAGTCTTCCCCTCCACATTACCTTCTTATATCTATTACAGCTGTTCAAATTCAAATGGATATCCATTTCCTGTTTTGCCAGACTTCATAACTTAAAATCAGTAGATAGAAAAGTTTTAAATGTAGTATTTAATTGATATGGGAAGATGAAATATAGTAAGATAACAAAAATTTACAAAAGGTTATAAAAGTGGATTGAAAAAAAAAAATATAAAATAAAAGTGGATTGAATGTGTATCTGACAAAAGGAGTGAAGCTCAACAAAGACTTACTGGTTTAGCATGATGTCAAGAATAAAGGATGTTCCAAAGGCATCAACCTGGAAGCTTGCCTGGTCAACATGAGTCAACTGCAACATCAAAAAGATAAAAGGTACTTATTATTCAGCCATAGCAATGAGGTAATAAGCATTTCTTAGGATGATTCAAAAAGGTTTAATATCATAAATTGGAAAACCAATTCAACACAGAGATTAAACGACAAAAAATAAAATCTGCACCTTCTCAGAAGCCAAGCATTCACCAATCTGAAGTACCACCTAATCCAAGAGGGCAAGTACTATACTTTTCCATTTTATCTCAAGTAACTAAACAGTCCATTTCCAAGACTGCACTTCATTCATTTTATTCTATATTAAATGACTGGCTCCTTTAAAATTAAACGTTGTACATTAAAAAAGAAATACAGAAAAATATGTTCAAGAGTAAAATAATAAGAATATGAACTATTTACAAGGAAGAGATCTAAATCTCAAAAAAAGCCCTTTATCATTCTACCTGAAATACATACTTTAAGAATAATATTTCAGTTCTAATTTGCCAAATATAATTTCATAGAGGTTTCTATGTCTTCCTAGAGCAAAACTTAGCCTCTACTATCTATTGCAAATATCGCCTATGGAAACTTTGTTTGGAAAAAAAAAATCACTATCTCTTATGCTATTTAGGAAGTCCCAGAGAAATCACAAGGGACTCTAAAAAATGCAATGTTACCAACAACACTAATATTAACATATTAAATAACCATGTGCATTAACTGAAGAGAAGGAAGCAAAAAACTTTTTATTCTGTTTGATTCTCCAAATATTAACTGTAGTTATAGCTAAGCAGAACTATGAATTAAATTTTTTGTTTATGTTTCTCTAGTACCCAAAATTTCTAGAATAAACACGTACAATTCCAACAATGAGAATAAAACAAACACTATTTTATAGATAAAAACCATCTGAGCAACCGTATTTAAGTAGTATGTGAGGCAGATGGTGTTACTGTTCTCAGAGAACAAGCACATTTAAAAAAAAAAAAAAAAGAAACACCCTAGGATTCTGTGGGGCATAACAGGCACCTCGATTATTCCTGGGATTTTCAAATAGTAAGCTTATGGTATTATGTGAAAGGAGAGAGCTTAATCAATAATAATAATAAAGCTTTTTGGAAGAAAAGGACATTCCTTGTCTTTTTTTTTTTAAGATTTATTTATTTATTCATTCAGAGAGAGCGAGAGAGAGGCAGAGACACAGGCAGAGGGAGAAGCAGACTCCATGCAGGAAGCCCGATGTGGGACTTGATCCCGGGTCTCCAGGATCACACCCCTGGCTGCAGGCGGCGCTAAACCGCTGCGCCACCAGGGCTGCCCCAATCCTTGTCTTTTAAAGTGTCTGAAAGAAGAAGGGGTAGGAGAATGCCAAACTTCAGTTGCTAACACACTCCAATCCCCATGGAACCCCAAGAATGAAGAACTATTTGGATACCTCTCAGCCTCATTACCTCATTCAACTTTAACTCTTGGCTCTTCCCAGGTAACACCCAGGCTATCATCTAACTCTGGCTTTTTTTCCTTTTAATAATTTTTGAAGCCATACCTTACTCCTCATTTCCATATCTGCCACAAATCATATTCTCATTTGATCTAAAATGACTCTTTACAAAACCCCAAATGTAAGCCTCAGTTTTTTCAGTGTGTCAAATACAAACTTTCTTTCCCTGGATATCAAGATCTTCCACAATCACCTCCCTCCATCCCAGACATAATGGCACACAAGTCCCAAGGGACCCACCCATATCCTATTCATGCTCAATTTTCTCTTCTATTCTGTAATTCAACAAGCTGTGTGAATTCCAACTTTGTGTGGCTTTCATTCATCACTTCTGAGGAGTGCCTTTGTGAACCAGACCCTTGGATAGTAGTCTTCACCAAGGACATTTCCCAGAAATGGCCCTATCCATCCCTCAAGATGTAGGACAAACTCCTCTTTGTGTCAATCTCTTAGGGCTGTCTTTACAAAGTACCCAGACTAGGTGGCTTCCACAACAGAAATGTACTTTCTCATAGTTTTGGAGGCTGAAATGACAAGATCAAGGTGTAGGCAGATGTGGTTTCTCCTAGGACCTCTCTCTCTGACTTCTCACTGTCCTCACATGGCCTTTTCTCTATACATGTGCACATCTGGCATCACTCTCTCTCTCTTCTTATAAGGACATCAGTCGTACTATATTTAGGGCCCACTCTAATGACCTCATTTAACCTCAGTGACCTCTTCAAAAGTCTTAACTCCTGACTGGGAAAAATTAGACAGGGAGACAAACCATGAGAGACTCCTAACTCTGGGAAACAAAGGGTTGCAGAAGGGGATGGAGGAACTGGGTGACTGGCACTGAGGAGGGCACTTGATGGGATGGGCACTGTGTGTTATATTGTACATTGGCAAATTGAATTCAAATTTTTTAAAATGTAAAAAAAAAAAAAAAAGAAAAACATTAACGGGGGATTCCTAAACCTTCATTTTGTAATGGGAACAAAATACAGTTCACTGAGTATACTAATATACTAAAAGCCATAAAAAAATGTCAAAAATAAATTAATAAAATAAATAAATAAAGGCCTTATCTCCAAACAGGTTCACAGCAGTGGTTAGGGCTTCAACATAGGAATTTTGGAGGAGACACAGTTCAGTCTAAATACTCCTCTTGCATGAAATCTTCTCATTCTTTTCCAATCTCCTTCTCACCTCCCTCAAAACTGTTCAGTTTGATATGAGGGTCTCAGTACTGATCAGCATCAGGTACTCAGTAAGCACTTCCTGATTGACTCATTTGAGGATTTGTTTGATATCAGTCACCTGGATACATAAACAACAATTGAACAGCTATAAATTACCTGCTTACAGAAATGCACTCCTTCCATCAAGGTTGTTCTTAATGCCATGTCAAAGGATAATGTCTTTCCTGTTGTCTAAAAGCTTTTTGAGTTTCCTGAAGTACTAACAACCATGTTTTGGAACAGCCTGAGGAAAGCTCTGTTTACCAGAACTGATGTCTCAATTAAAACCTCTCTTCCCTCCATTCTTTCTTGGCACTTACTGTGGCGAGCAGAGCAGAGGCCCCATGTTATTCATCCTGGTATTGGATTCAGTGTAGGGATCAAGATAACATTACCAATCTTTTTCAGTATGTTTACTGTTTATAATAATTTCATCTAATTCTTGCTTTGTTTTTCCTGCAGCTTCAATTTACATCTAGTATCTTACTTTATTGATCTCCAATGTGTCCCAAAGAGAAACGCATTACTTAAAATTCAAAAGAAAATCTATTGACAGAATGTTTAACTACTGTTGAGTAAAAAACGTTTGCATTATTAATAGTAATAGAAACAACAGTATATTAAAATTGTTTTAACCTAAGGCATGCTTCCTTAGACTGTATACAGACTGATTCACTTAACAAATATCTTCTAAGAGTCTAGCAAGTGCTGCAAACTTTTGATTTGGTAGACAAGGTGTTTAAGAAAACTGACCATGTTTCTCTTTTAGTGGAGCTTATTTTCTAGTGGAGACAGAAAATGACAAATAAAATGACAGAAAATGAACAATAAAAAATAAATCCAGAAATAAATACACCACTCTCAGATTTTTTTCACTCTCAGATTTAATAAAACAAGGTCAACAGGTGATCATGGTAGATGGGATCCTAGGTGATCCTGGAAGCCTCTCTGCAGAGGTGGCATCTAGGGGACACGTGAATGACTAAAAGGAATCTGTAGTAGATAGAATAATGGCCCTAAAGATGCCCACACTCTAGTTCCCAGAACCTATGAACATATGACCTTACATGACAAAAGGAGTTTGCTTATGTGATTAATTTAAGGATCTTGAGATGTAGAGATTATCTTGGGTTATCTAGGTGGGCCCAATCTAATCACAAAGGTCTTTATAAGACCAGAGTCTTAGAAGGGTCAAGGTCAGAGAAGGAGATATGATGATGGAAACAGAAATTAGGATAAGGTGAGGCAAAGGCCATATGCCAATGAATACTAGAAGCCTCTTGAAACTGGAAAAGGCAACAAACAATTCTCCGCAAGAACCTCCAGAAGGAACACAGTCCTCCCATCACCTGTATCTTAGCTTTGTGAAACCTATTCCAGGCTTCTAATCTCCAGAACTGTAAGAAAATAAATTTTTGTTGTTTTATAATTTTAAGTGTGTGTAATGTACTACAGCAGCAATGGGAAACCAATACAGCATCACTAGCAATGTCATTTAGAAAAGCAGTTCCACTAAAAGAGTTGATTGCACTAGTGGTTCAATGTCATTCTCCTGGATTGGTTAAAACCAAGGTACTCACAGCTGTAGGACTGGAACTCATGAAGGCACAAGGATCAAACTCCAAACACAAGACTTCCCAGCCAAACAAAACTCACAGTGGTGATCACTAAAGTAAATGTGAGCATGGTTTCCTTGCATTCTGTGTGGCCTTCTCTCTTCCCAGAATATACCTTCCCCAAGTTTGACTTAAAAAGCAGGCCAAAGAGAATATGTTTACATCTTTAGGTTATCTTGGAGAAATAATTAAGTAAAACTACACTGACACGATGCTATATTAACAATCCAGCTTCTTAGCCAACACCACCAATGTGAGCCAGGATGGGTCTCAGAAAGTTAATCTTAGACTCTGCTTTTTTTTTTTTAGTTCAGAGGAAAAGAAAATGTTTGAGAAGAGACAACTTGTATAAGATCAGGATTTTCTCCTTTTGGGGAGGGGAAGGTGATAACATATATTGCTAAACAAAAATTCTCATATTCATTAATTTTCATTTGAATGTTAAAAGGCAGTAATAGCTCTCAGAGATATTTTTTAAAATGTAATTTTGGGCAGCCCTGGTGGCGCAGCGGTTTAGCGCCGCCTGCAGCCCAGGGCATGATCCTGGATACCCTTGATTGAGTCCCACATCAGGCTCTCTGCATGGAGCCTGCTTCTGCCTCTGCCTGTGTCTCTGCCTCTCTCTCTCTCTCTCTGCATCTCTATGAATAAATAAAATCTTTTAAAAATAAATAAATAAAATAAAATAAAATAA